AAAAAAAAAGAAGCAAACAAAGACAAAGAAAGACACAAACAAAGCACGCGCACGCACAAAAACTACTCAAGGAAGGTAGGCAATTGCGGACCGACTCAACACCCCTAAAATTAAGCCCCCACAGCCCAAACCGTATACACCTTGTACTTGGAGGTTCAGGGTACTTAGTAACCCAACTATACCTGTACTTATAACCCAGTTATAACCCGATTACGGTACTTCAGGGGCTTATAAGTGGGTTCTAACTGCACTTAGAACCCTAAACCCTAAACCCTAAACCTTAAACCCTAAACCCTGAACCCTGAACCCTGAACCCTAAACCCTGAACCCGATTGGGTTACCAAGTACCCTGAACCTCCAAGTAGCCAGGCTGCAGAGCGGCATCCCTGGGCACCCCCTCGGCCAGCAGATCCAGCAGTGGTGGCTTGGCCCACTCCAAAACCCTGAATTAAGGTTTTTCGGTTTCGGGTTTAGGGTTTAGGGTTTAATTAGGGTTGAGCAGAGACTCCAAAAACCCCTGAATTAAGGAACATGCCTTAAATCATATTAGGGTTCCTATTGTAGTTCAAGGGATACTCCTTAATGTCAGGGTTCTCTGGGTTGTTTGTGGCTCTTGGATTCCTTCTCTGCGGTTTTAGGGTTTAGGGTTTCGGGTTTAGGGTCTAGGGTTTCGGGTGCTGCAAAGGGGGTCTTAGTTTACAAGCAGCCCCATGTGGGTTGGGGCTGTGTAGAGTGGTGCTTCCTTTTGCAGAGTTGTGGGGCCCGCTGCTCATGCATGGTCTTTGCGGTTTTTTCTGTGAGTTTCTGCCTTTTGTGCCCTGTGATTGCGACGATCTGTGGCGACATGGTGTGTGGTTTTGTGGCCACTAGTAGGAATTTCTTGTTTCAATCTGTGTTCGAGCTGCGAAAGCCGTTGCCTCATTCACCCGGACATGTTCCCGAGGTTGGTGTACACGGACTACATGAGGATGCCTCATCTGCTTTACTTCACAGGGCTTGTGAATCTGATCGATCAAGCCCTGCATTTCCGCTACGAGCATGCCACTGAGATAGTCGACTCCTCAGTCTCATCTTCGAGATGTGAGCAGCTGTGTGCTCACGCTTCATGCTATATATATATATATATATATAAGGTTAACCTTTTTTGCTTATGTAAAATCCTATCCCGAGTTGGCTGTTGGAGGCTCCCAGTGTGTCTCTGTGCAGAGGCGCAGAAGATGCGGAAGGTGAACCAAGAGGCTCTCCAGACCAGCACGGAGTACTACAAGGGGATGCTGTCCGCGCTTTGATTCGCTGCGAGTCGTGGGCGGCTTGGTCTACGACCCACCATGCCGAATTCCCCTCCGTGGAGCTAAACCTGACGGACCTGAGAAGAGACTCCACAATACCTTTTGATTAACTTAGGGACTGGGTCGGTAACCTTGAACCTTTTTGGTTACATGAAATCCTACTATATATAAAAGGTTAACCTTGTTGGGGCTAGGCTAATCAGGCCAAAGTTAAGGAATGTCCTTCGATCCCGATTATCATGTAAGGAGTCTTCAACCCCAAGCCCTAAGCCCCAAACCCTGGAACCCTTAAGGAATATTGGAGACTCTGGGGACCCAGCTGCAACTGCTGGCCTTCCTGGACTGCTGGACGCCGGGCCATCGACGTGATTCCCCAAAAGCTGAAGAGCCGTGCGCCTGCCCGCCTGGGCGACGCGCGAGCAGAGAGAGAGAGAAAAAGAGGGCCACAGCTTCACCTGCTGCTGCTTGAGCAGGTTGAGGGCGTAGAGGGGGGTAGGCTTAGAGTTTAGGGTTGGGATGTTGCCCCTTATACTAGCAGTTCCCTTAGTAGGGATTACAGCACCCCTAGCTTTATCCCTTTTCAGGACTGCTAGAATAATAACAAGGGGAACATGCCAAGGTTTAGGGTTCAGCAGCCTGAGCTGGCCACAGCTGGGGCTGGGGGTCGCAAGAAAACCAAAGCGCGCGAAGCGCGCGCGCGCGCGATGAGGTTGCAGGAGCTCCTACAGGATGTCCTCCCGAAGGCGCTGCTGACGTGTCGAGTCTTGGATTGTAAGAACTGCAGTTCCGCCATTTCAAGCCGTCAATGATCATGACGATTGGTTCGTGGCCATTGTTCTTCCTTATACTTGGGCCCTAAAGCTCCTTTTTTGGGAATTAAGGCTAATTAAGGCCCAACTATACTATATACTATACAGGTACGTTGACCCTTTGGGGGTATGTATACGTGCACATGTGCATACATCCATGCACATGGCACCAACGGAGCCCCCTAAACCCTAAACCCTAAACCCTAAACCCTAAACCCTAAACCCTAAACCCTAAACCCTAAACCCTAAACCCTAAACCCTAAACCCTAAACCCTAAACCCTAAACCCTAAACCCTAAACCCTAAACCCTAAACCCTAACCTAAACCCTAAACCCTAAACCCTAAACCCTAAACCCTAAACCCTAAACCCTAAACCCTAAACCCTAAACCCTAAACCCTAAACCCTAAACCCTAAACCCTAAACCCCAAACCCCAAACCCTAAATTCCCACTTGCGAACTTGCAGGTGCCAGCGCAAGGAGCCAGCCTTCCTCCCGATTCTGCGGATCTGTTGGACAGGCGCCAGCTCGCCTCTCAAAACCCTGAACTGTCTTAGGACGGAAGAAGGGAATCTGGGTTTAGGGGTTTGGGGTTTAGGGTTTAGGGTTT